GTGAGCGTCACAGGTGGGCAGCAGGGAACACCGAGGTGGTGGTGGAGAAGTAGCTACCTGTCTGCCACACTCAACTCCATCCCACATTTGTTGATTGGGGACCTATGCCAGTTAAGTATATGTGTGTGTGTTTTAAAAGATTTATTTATTGAAAGGTAGAGTTCGAGAGATCCATCTTCTATATGCTGGCAAATTCCTAAATGGCCATGATAGCCAAGGCTGAGCCAGGCTGAAGCCAGGAGCTTGTCAATCATCTGGGTCTCCCAGCTAGGGGCAGAGGGGCCCAAATACTTGGGCCATCTTCCCCTGTTTTCCCAGGCACGTTTGCAAGGAGCTTGATTAGAAAGAAGTAGGGTAGCTGGGACTGGAAGTTGCTCACACGGGATGCTAGTGTTGCCAATGGTGGCTTTTAACATGTCTTCAGGTGGCGGGGATACCTGGCCTTGTGTTGTCACTGTGCAGGGACCAGCCGAGGTGACCTAACGGGCAGGGCGGGTTGGCACCTAATGGTGGGATCCTCCATACCACATGTTAGAATGCAGACGTTGTCCAGACAACAGGGAAGCTCTGGAAAGTTTTCCAACAAGAATGCCACATTCATTTATTCAGCGGCCAGACGCCGGGCCCAGGCCTGGACACTGAGATCCAACAGTAAGGTGCCCACACTGCCTCTGGGCAGCTTCTCAGCAAGGGCTTACCTGGAAATGAGAACACCATCATCCGTGTGTTTTTAAAAATCTGATTTCCTAGAGGAGCACACCCCTTGCAGGCGTTCCCGAAATGCCCCTGCTGCCGCTCTGCCTCACAGGCTCTGCAGTCAAGCACTTACTGAGGTTTCCAACGTCACTGAGTGAGCAGGGGGAAACAGATGAAGGCAGGCACACACTCACTCACTCACTCACTCACTTCCCCCTGCCCCCCACCTGCCAAGCAGCTGCCACAGCGTTCTGAGCACCTCTTCCGTTGGACCTGTGGGCTTTGACTTTTGCTGAGGGAGGGTCGATTGGCTCCAGGTGTCCCTGCCTTTGCCTGAGGGATTCCGGAAGCTGGGGGCAGGGATCTAGGGGGCAAGAGAAGGACGAAGGCTGGGGGAGGTGTGGGAGCTTTGCTCTGTTTCCGCCCTTGAGCTCTGTTGAAACTCAGAGTGCAATTTCAAAGACAGGCGAACCCTTTCATCTGAGTTGCATGCTAGAGACCAAGGCCTCTTGCGGATGGCCAGCTGTCCTCGAGACAAACCGGGGACAAAGACAGGGAGGCTGTAGCGCCTCCTGGGTCCCAGTTGGGGCCACACAGTTCCTTTGGGTTCCTGGCAGGCTGAAGCTGGTGGGCATTGCCCTCTGCTGGGGCAAATCAGGAGGAGTGAGTGGCAGCCAGGGACCGATCTGTAGGAGTCCCAGGGCTATTCCTGCTTAGGCTCCCTGACCACTGATCACTTGGTGGTAGCTGTTTTGGTGTGTCTCCAGGCCCTCTGTCTCTAGATTAGCATCCCTCTCAGGCCCCACGCAAGACTCCTGGGCCCCACCAGCTCCCACAGAGCAGCTTGGCACTTCTTGCCCTGGGCAGTGCCCAGTGGGTGCCAGGGGAGAGGCTGACAGCTCCCCCACTCTTCCTAGTCCGGTGTTTGGCAACACCACCAGCAGCCTTTCCCATGGAAGCTGACCCCATGCTCCGGATTCCCAGGGCTAGTGTATGAAGGCATCATCTCAGTGCCACCTTCCTATGTCAGATCTGTTACTGCGGATCTTATTTCAAACTAATTGTGTTACAAGGGGTGGGGGTGGGAGGGCAGGGGGTTAATTATAATGAAGGCAAAAAAGAATTTTTTTTTAAAGACCTAGTTTCAAAAATCTCAGACTTAATTTAGTCCATTTCAATTACAGAGGGAGTTGTTACACTGGAGCTCATTTGCAATCAATCCTTAATTACCCACGCTGACGTTTGTATTTGAGATCATCAATAGATTAGTGGGTATGAATGATTCATCTTACAGGGCCTCAGCTCTGTGCTCCCAAGCCCCTCCACCCCCTGGGAGGAAACCCGCCAGGCAGCAAGGACATTGGGAGATTTCCCAAGTGTCCGGGGCTTCCGTAGCTCTGCCCTCACCCGCTGGCTGTCAGGGGCATTCCTGTGCATCCCCAGCCCCCAGCCGAGGAAATGGCCTTTCCGGCCTTCTTGCACAGGACGGATGCTGCCACAGAGCTTCCGGCCTCAGCTTTTCCTGCCTGCTCCCAGGGAACTGCATCCAGCAGCCCTGGCCACTGTGTCTTTATTGGAAAAACTATTTTCCAAGGTCAGTCAAATTTTAAGGCACCGAGAGAGAGCCCAGAAAACTTGGGAGATGCAGTGTGTGGGGGTGTGTGTGTGTGTGTGCTTCCAGGGCAACAGCAGGGTCGGGAAAAGGCCAAGTGGATGAAGCCCTGTGCCTGATTGCCCTTCCAGCCCATCACAGGAGCCCCCCCCCTCAACACTGCGGGGGCAGGATGCCCCCTTTCTGTCCCCATCTGCAGGGAATTCCTGAAACTACAGTTAGCCCCAAACTCGGTATGAACCTGTTCTCCTCCCCTCACCTCGTAATATACTTGTGATAAAGCTTAATTTATAAGCCAGACACAGTAAGAGATGTTAAGCTCAGAGAGCAGAACTGCAGATGAGGGTGGGTGGGTGTGGGGCACTGCCTTTGTTTGCAAGTCAGAGAGGAGCTGTGTGCCTTCAGCAGGGGGAGGAGGCTTAGAGTGGCAGCGAGGGGTCCTCCTTTCCCCCCACAGGTAGCCTACGGTTCTACATCCACCACACTGTGGGAAGCCAAGGGTTTGGATCCCATTGTAGCATGGGATACCTCGTCTACACTTTATTTCTATGTCTGTGTACTTAAGCAAATTTTTTTTTTCTAGAGGAATCCAGAGAATGGCCTTGCTTCACATTTTCCTACAGGTGTGTCTGGTGGCGACTGGTGGAGGAGCAGGCAGTAGGGGAAAGGGTTGAGCCAGCAGGGAATCTTTCCCAGTTTTCCACTGGCTGGGGCCAGGGCACAGGGAATGAGAGACAATTCCGGCTTCTGTGGGCGCCCCAGCCCTGAGCTGTGTTCCTCTGGGGTGCTCTCCAAGCGTGGAGATGACTAGGCTGGAGTGGCAGCCATCCGTCTGTCCGTGGCCACACCGACAGCCCGGCCAAGCCTGGGGTCGCGGCGGCTGGCGTTGGAGCAGGAGGTGTCTCTGCTGGGAGGGAGTTTGGTGCCTTAGTGCCTTCTGAGATGGTGTCTTCCTCTGTACCCAAATGCATCACCGAATGCAAATCCCAGCTCTGCTGAAGCTCAGGAGGACCTTGGGGAAGCCCCTTCAGCTCCCTGCTGCTCCGAGGTCTCCTGCAGGCTGTGGGACTGCAAGTGGCCACTGGCTAGGAGGTCCGGAGGTTAAGGTGAAGGCTGCCAGGCAAAAGGGGTGCGGGGGTTTCGTAGACAGTTGGGGGCGCCCTGGGAGAGAGGCAGCAGCAGCAGCAGCAAGGTGCCATGGGGGAGTCAGCCATGACGCAGCTAGCTTGACCTTGTTCAAGAGCCCCCTTTATTATTTTATTTTTTAAAAATAAACCTCTGTGAGAACTCTGACAAAGCAGTTCTAGAAGCATAAAAGTCATAAAATAGCACCACTTTTTTTTTTCTGTGATGTGAGCAAAAAATATTCGTGCACACAAACCCAAGGCAGATCTTCTGGGACTAAGGCTCTAAATATTACTCATGAGTCACCCCAGCTCCATTCCAAGGGAACGTCTCCCCCAGCCCCTCACCCAACACCCCCGTCCGTGACATATCAGGATTCTAGCTTTCCGGCCTCTCCCACCAGCCTCCCCGGAGGTTCAGCGTGGGCACCGTCCCTCTGGCAGTGGGAGTCCATTTCCCGAGATAACCTCTCATGGGAGCGGTTCCTGCGCCAGTCTCCACAATGAACGCTAGGTGGTGCTAGACCCCTACGTTAGCAGGCCAACCATGGCTCTGCAGCAAAGCCCAGTCCTTCCTGAAGTTTGGGGGTTGCTGTTTTGGTTGATCCCCCAGCCCTCATGCTGTGCTGGTACTGGGGACCCGGTTGCTGTGGCTACAGCAAGCAATCCCCAGCCCTGGGGCTGGAGAGACCCACTGAACTATAAATAACGCCAAGAACAAGAAGCCCTTTGCAATTTCAGCTCCACCCGAGGGACAGGAAGGAAGAGGGCAGGGAGGAAGCCAATTCTAGAGGCCCCTTTGTGAGAGTAGCCTGGCTTCTTTCCCTCCTGATGACTTTGAGCAACTTCATTGGGCCCAGCCCGGGCCACGTCAGGACCTCTCTGTGAGCCAGCCAGCCAGCCAGCCAGCCACCCACCGAGAATGCCCTGTTGCTGGAGTCTATGGGCCTCCTGAACGGTGGTGGTGGCTAGTTATAAAGCCATTTCCAGGCTTCTGAGCATTGCCAGCAATTTACCTGGGAAAGCACGAGGGCAGCAGCATGTTCTGTGTGCAGGGCCACAGAAACCCAAGGCCGCGCTGGAGCTGCCTGCCCTGATGCCGTGTCAGAAACCGAGATGATTATGGTTGCTTCTGCTGGGGGGGCGGGGAGGGGACCTTATTGGTCACATGGTCATTTTGGAGGGGCTCTTCAGGGCAGAAGGGCAGCTTGTTTGGGTGGGTGAGGGGGCTCCTTGTCCTCTCCTGTGCACAAAATAGGCTCGCCAGACACCGACGATACCAGCACAGCACTCTGGGGTGCCAATTCCATGAAAAACCTTTGGAGAACAGAGATGCAAGATGAAGTTTTACTCATCTGCCCTTCTGTACTTTTTTAGTTTGGCCCTTGCTTAGTCTTCATGAACCAATCACCTTCCAGAAGAAAAAGCAAAGAGCCATACCCAGATAGATGTCCATGGCCATTGTCTATCTCCTGGGCCCATATGATTCCAGAGTAAGTCATTTATTGAATATTGTTGTACGCATGTCTGGCTCCCCACAAAAAAACGCTCTCCTCCCTCGCCTCCAGGTGGAAGGGGTAGAAGCTGCCGGTGACAGTCCCCAGGGCACGTGAACACGCTTGTGAAGCTTCTGCCACTCATCTGCCCCTGGTCGATCCGCTCCAGAGGACCCTGGGAGGACAAGGGGGAGGCGTTCTCTGCACCCCGCAACACAGTTGGCCTGCCAGACTTCCGGTCTCTGGACTCATGGGAAGCGGGTGGGTGTTGTGTAAGCCAACCAGACCATGGTAGTTGACTACTGCAGCCTCAGTGGACTAAGTCAGGAATTTGATTATGGAGGGGAGGGGTCACAAGAGCTGTGAAGCCCCCAAGGAGCCTGTGGTGTGGTGGAATAGAGGCAGGTGCAGTGTAATGCGAAGACATCCTGATCTAGAGGTTTGACTTGTTTATGTGGGATTCCCTATAAGGCAATGAAGAAGAAATGCATGGTGGGCATGGGAGGAGGGAGGAAGGAGGGACTGGGCATGTGCTCCTGCCAGGCTGGGCTGTGCTCTCCCTGTCTGTGTGAGACAGGACCTGCCCTTAGGTTGCCTCAAACCTCCAGCCATCCTGCTGGGATCTGGATGCCTGGGTGACAGTCTGCACCCAAGTGCCTGTGCTGCTGGGATGGGGGTGGGCAGGACTGGCTGCCTTGGGAGCTGCTGCAGGGACAGCCCGTGCTGCCCAGGAGTGCAGAGAGAAGCCGCCTGGGCATCCAGCACTCTGCACCCCCTTGCCTGTGTTGCCCCAACAGGTTTCCTCCCCAGGTCCTGGGGTGAGGGGGTCCTAATGAGTCAGAGCCTCCTGGCAGCTCTGCTCCCCACTGTTACCCAGCCCTTCCATCTGTCACTGCTGGGGCCAGCCCTGCGCCCTGCTCCGGCCTGGTCAGAAGAAACGACATTACTGTTATGAGAAATCAGCACACACACAATGGATGTGCATGTGGGAATTCGATGAAAGTATTTGTGGTGAAGAGCTTGTTCCCCTCCCAACTTCCCTGTTCCCTCCCCAGGGGGAAGCTACGAATCCCTCATCTCTCCATTCCTACTCAGGCCTCTTCCATCCACCCATTTTTCCCCCTTAAAAAAAAAGACAAAAATTAATCCTTATTGTCTTAGGGACCGGTGAAATGCAAATACCTGAGCCCAGCCTCCCCCGGCCCCCGCCAGTGTACCCCTAAGCCAGGCCCGAAAGCTCAGAGCCAGTGGCCAGCTCCCACTCACCTCACTGAGTGTCTGCTGACTTTCAGTTTAGTTTCCTGAATAAATCAGGCACACATGCAACTTTTTTTCCTCCCTTATCTGTGTTCATTGGTTTCATTTCCCCACAGGTAACCACTAACTGATCTCTGGCATTTCTTGCCAGGCAATGTTTGCGCATTTTTAAAAAGAATACAAAACATACCCTCCCTCCTCGTACCCAAATGGTGACTTTTGGTAGCTTCTTTTAAAGAATGGAGTAACATACCTTCGAAGCCTTCCCAGGACAGTTCATCAGTAGGTTTTTCAGTGAGTTTGTAGCTGTATATTTGCTAACGCAGCAAGCTTTTTTTGAAAAGGACCAGAAAGTAGCGTTTGTGGCATGGAACGACAGCTCCCAGTTAGGATGCAGGGCTGGCTCCAAGTGTCTGCTTTATAGATGGACACCAACATTAGCATGCTAAATGGGTTCATTGTGGCGTAGTTCTCCTTCAGATTATTTTTTTTTCAAGCATAAAAAAATGTTAAGTCTATTCTTAGCTTACAGATCCTACAAAAATGGGGAGAAGGTCAGGTTTGGTCTGCCAGTGTTAAGCATTCTCTATTAAGGAACATTCCTATAGAAACAGTGTAATCTTTTGCTGTAATGTGTCATCTTGGATGTGACACTCTGTATGCATCCCTATGTGTCTGGAGGGCAAGCTCTGAGGAGTGAGACAGGAGACACAGATGGGGTGGGCATTGGGCACAGCAGTTCACATGAAGCTCGGATGCTACAGTGACCTGCTGGGGTCTTGCAGGATTCTGCTAACGTTCCCACGGAGGCAGCAAGCTATGGCTTAGCTAGTTGGGTTCCTGCCACCCCAGTGAGAGAGGCGGATGGAACTCTCGGCTCCTGGCTTCAACTCCAGCCTGTCTCTGGCTTTGTGGACATTGAGGAAGTGAACCCATTCATAGATGGTCTCCTCTCTGTTCATCTCTGTCTCTCTGCCTTTCAAAAAAATAATTTTAAATATATGCATTTGTTGTTTTTTCTTGTGAAATTGCCCTCCCAGAGGCTGGATTAGTTGATATATTCACTAACAATGTCTGGTTTTATGACCAACTGCATATTTTCCACTTTGAATTTTTCCCATACTTAGAGATAAAATAAGGCATTTCAATACTTCTAATTTGTGTTTTTCTTATGAAGAAATTGAACCTATTTTTATAAATTTAACAGTATCTTGTGTTTCTTTTGCTGCTGTTGCTCTGTGAGCTGGTGTTTCATATCTTTTCTCATAAACTTAAATTTTCTTTTTTTAAAAAAGATTTATTTATTTTTATTGAAAAGGCAGACACACAGGAGGAGAGACAGAGAGGAAGATTCTCTGTTCGCTGATTCACTCTCCAAGTGGCCACAACAGCCGGTGCTGTGATCTGAAGCCAGGAGCCAGGACCTCCTCCAGGTCTCCCATGTGGGTGCAGGGTCCTAATGCCCTGGGTCATCCTTGACTGCTTTCCCAGGCCACAAGCAGGGAGCTGGATGGGAAGTGGGGCTGCCAGGATTAGAATCGGCACCCCAGCCGCTAGGCTATCACACTGGGCCCATATTTTATTTTCTTATTTGAAAGAGAGAGAGAGAGAGAGAGGGAGAAAGAGAATTAAATTGAGATCTTCCATCTGCTGGTTTACTCTCAAAATGCCTAAAATTACTGGCCCTGATGCTGGGACTGTACCCAGGTCCCATGTGGCTGGCAGAGACCCAGCTACTGGAGCTGTCAGTGTGTTCTTCAGGATGTCCTTGGTAGGAAGCAATGAGGAATGGAACCAGGAGTTGAAGCCCTGCACTGGGATGTGAGATGTGGACAACTCACCCGGTGGCTTAGCCCAACGCCTGCCTCCTTGTCTTGTATTTCTTTTAGAGATTTTGTGTTTGTTAAGGATATTGGCTCTTTGCTAAATTGCATCCACTCTTTCCAGGTTTGCATTTGTTTGATGATACAAATTTGAAAACACAAACAATCTCTATTTTTAGCTGAATTTATCAATGTGTTTATGGTTTGTGCTTGTTGAGTCACAATTAGGAAGGAATTTCCTACTAAAAGTTTATAGAAGAATTCTGTGTTCTCTTAGTATGAATTCTCCCATGTTTTCTCTGATACTTTGTGGTCATATTATTTACATTTAGATGTTTACTCCGTTTGGGATGTATTCTGATATACAGTGTGAGTTTCTACTACAAGCTAATTTTTTCCTAGCTGGCTGCCAGGAGTGTCGGTGACACTTGTTGAATAATCCCTGAATTTGGAATGCCCTGTATTACCGTACTGAACCCTAGAATATATCTGTATTTTCTCTAAGCTGTCCGTTGGTCTCTCTAGTCACATGCTGGTACCAGTCTAGGAAGTATCCAAGTGCTATACTATGTTTTTGTACGAACTGATCTAGTGCAGGGTTTCCCAATCTAAGATCTATTGACATCTTGTAAGATTCTTTATTGTGAGAGCTATGTTGTGCATTGTAGCATGTTTAGCAGCAACTCTGGCTTCTGTGTATCAGATGCCCCTAGCAGGTGCATCCTGTGTGCCTGCATGTGTGTACATACACACACACACACACACACACACACACACACACCTGTGATAAGCAAAAAGAAAAGAATGTCTCCAGATATTGCCATTTATTAGCTCATACCTATTGGACTAGTTATTCATTATTAGTTTTCTTTTCACGGTTCTGTATATTATTTTAAAAATTATTTCTTATTTGTTTGAAAGTCAGAGAGAGAGAGAGAGAGAGAGAGTCCATTGCCTGGCTGATTCCCCAAGTGTCTATCGTGGCCTGGATCTGGGAATGTAATCCCTGTCTTCCACAGAAGTGGAAAGGACCCAGATACTTGGACTACTACCTGCTACTTCCCAGGCAGTGTGCTAGCAGGGAGCTAGAACTGGAAGTGGACATGAACTCCAACACACAGTCCTGCCTGTGGGCGTCCCAAGCAGCATCTTAACTGCTGTGCTGCTTGTTCCCTCGTTTGTGTTTGCTGCTGCTGCTCCCCAAGCCAGGAATGTCCTGCTGGAACTCACTTTCCCACTCGAGATCAGCTCAGGCAACTGTCTCCTGGCCACACTGCTCCTTCCTGGGCCCCGTGGCCCATGTGCCACCATCATTCCCTAAGGAAATGAACCCTTTGCTTATCGCACCTGACTGCTTTTTAAAATTTTTTTTTAATTTTTAAAAATTTATTTCAAATACTTTGTTGCAGAAGGAGAGAAAAAGAGAGAGAGAGAGAGAGAGAGATTTTTCCTTTGGTGGTTCACTCCCTAAATTGCCATACTAGCCAAGCCCCAGGCAGTCTGAAGCCAGGAGCCAAGAGCTTCCTCAGGGTCTCCCATGTGGGTGTAGGGACCCAAGCAGTTGGGCCATCTTCTGCTGTTTTCCCAGGCACATTAGCAAGGAGTAGGATTGGACGTGGAGCAGCTGGGACTCAAACCTGTGCTCATATGGGATGCTGGTGTTGTGAGCATCAGCTTAACCCTGTGTGCCATCACACCAGCCCCATTCCGACTGTGGTTTAATCTCCTATTGTTCATCCATGTTTTTGTCTTTGGCACTGAGCCTGGCCTGGGGCACTGCCTTCATCAGTCTACTTCCCATCCTTGAAGCATTCTGACACCATCAGGAGCACCTGCTTCTCTTTTGCATGGCCTCTGCCACCTGCCCGGAGCCCCATGGATGCTGAGCATGTGTTGCTGCTGGTTTGCCCTGGCCTGGGCTGTGTGTCTAGGGATGCGGCCCAGGCCAAGCAGTGAGGGGAAAAGGGCTTCTCCTTTGGAAGGCTCCTCCAAAAGGGGAAAGTGATGTGCCCCACCTCAGATTTTGGCAGTTTGGGCTGCCGCTCCTTCCCTGGCCAGTCTACAGCCCTTTAAATGGTGCACTTGCCTTCATCAGCTTCCAGCCCAGGGCAGTCTGCATGTAGTGGCCCAAAGTCCCCTTCCTCTAAGGGTTCTCGCCTGACCTCTGTAACCACAGCACAC